CACATCTATGTTTCTCAACTTTTAACTTTATATTATGTCATTATAAGCACTTTTTAAATACTTGAAACTTGAAAGTAGTAATACTGCAATGGTGTATATACATTGCAGGTACATGTTATAGATAGAATTTGATTTTATGTAACATAATATAGGTACCACATATAATATACATTAATAATAATAAATTATTTTATTTTTACTCTATTTTACATAGGTACCTATAAAAATTTAAAAATCACAACCTTCCATAACTTTACCAAATACGCTTATATATATCAATCAATAGGTGCAATTATGGGGGGTTGGGGGGCTTAGCCTTCTTCTCAGTTGGCAGTTTTATCTGTGCAACCCCCCCCCCAAAAATGTCAATAGTTGCGCCTTTGTATATAATAAGAAGTTATGTTTATCTTACTTACCATTCTATATTTCTATTTTTCCTACCTGTATAAGTAATAATCTGTTTCTGAGTGATTTTACTACTTAAAATTGAAATTTGTGCTTTTATAGGATATCTTTGAACAAATGTCGCTCTATTAATATGTAATGGTACACTCTTACTATTGATTTTATTACTAGGTAACATTAATATACTACAAGTAACAACCAACAGAATTTTGATGAAGGTTGAAAAGGATAATATGAAGTTTATGAAGCCAATTCGAGTGCGTTGAAGGGCCACTTTTAAAGATTTAAAAAATTAAGACTACGTAAGCCAGATGAGTATGAAATTATAATAAATTAATCAATATCTCTGCATTATAAATTTATAAGTGTTGGTTTGAATGAGAACTAAGAATATAATATACATATAATATTAAATATTTATATGTCTAAAAAAACTGTACTCTTAACACGTATTACATACCTATTCATTATTGTAAGTCTAAGTTGACAAGAATAAAAAAAAATTATAAAAACAGTAATATATAATAATACATATAATGTATTGATAAAATTCAGTATCTTTTGATTTTTCCCTGAAAAATATTCGGCTTAATACTCAGTTTTAAACAGTATATAAATTCAATTTTTTCAAGAAACAGCCATCGACATTAATTTTATAAAACGAAAAAAAAAACAATTTCAATCTACCAAAAAAATATAACATTTTATGTTAGGAACGTATTACTATAATACTATATCCAGTATACACACACCATAGTTTCATCCATTGCTTTAAAACTCTTTTAAAATAACAATTGCATTAGCTTAGCAAAACTGTATCACATTTCTAGAAAAAAATTAATTAGTAAAATATTCCAACAATTTATTGAACACAGTAATAGCAATTTTTTACATTAGCTTAAATATTAATAAATTATTGAGTACATTTTTAAAGACAAAAATACTTTATAAATAATGAATAAAGCTCTGATACTGCTTGAAATTATATTCATTGTACATTCTCTATAAAATCGCTTCATTTGATTGATGTTTATATTTAAAATAATTTTAACACTTTAACTAAGTAAACATGTATCGAAGTCTACAAACTATGTTTCTTTTTTATTTTTCAGAAAGAAGAAATCTTAGCAATACACATTTAGTTTATCTCGTGCTGAGTTTTAAATTGTAATTTACTACTATTGCGAAATTAGATTGATCCAGCAGCGAAGGTTACCTATCTTATCAGTTCCCATCCCTCGACAATGCATAAATTGGATATCTCCTTCGGATAAAATTAACGAAAAAACTATGCATAAACAATGGACGAAAATACAACAGATTATAATATACATACAACCATACAACGTAATCGACGAAATTGATTTATAAATTGATATTGAAATATTATTTTAAATACTAAAATAAAACAAATATAATCTTTAAAGATTTAATAATTGCAGATTTTATAAGCATGAATTAATCAGAATGTTTTAATCTTGTGCACGCAAAGCAAACATCAAAAAAGTTTTTAATATGTATAGTTTTTTTTTTTTTAAATATCAAGTCTGCAATCACCTATTTCTTTTTGAATTCAAACAAAATCAAATTATCTTAAGCTACTTACTAAGTGCAATTTGGTATCAGAAATCACCCTCAAAATGAAGATCGAAACAAATTTTTTGCTCCAAAATACGACGACAGACACACATGACACACGATTGTTAAACCAATACAGAGGCTCAAAATCCAAAAAAAATATTATATTATACTTAGATAATGACAATACCTATATTGCTAAGGATTGTAAGTATAGAATATGGATGCTATAGTACTATATGACATCGTACGTAAATATAATAAATAACCCATTAAGACATTGACCAACAATATACATTACAACCTAAATAGTTAAATAATGGCTATAATTTAGCCATTAAGGCATTGTGCAGCCATTGTCAACACTTATCATTTATCATATACTACATAATTTCTTATTTTTCACATATACTTTTTAATAAAGAAAATATTAATTACTTTGATTTATTTAAAGATCTCTTCAAGTAGTCTGAGCACTATAAACACTACAGGCTTATGGTACAATTGTAGAAATAACTTAAAATTGTTCTAAATATTTTGAAAATTACTACATAGTGTTTAGAAAACGATAATTAAAGTATTAATGGAATGTTCCAAGGTTGAACATTTAAAGATATTTAATTAAAAATAAATAACAAAAACTGTTTGTGTCGTTATGATACCATTAAATATACAATATGGTCAAAATTTGAACTTCAAACTCGCATAAAAAATGTATGTGATTTTATACTTAACTGTTTAGTAGTTTCGGTAATAGCAACTGATCATATTTTGTGTTACGGTTCGTATTATAAGCTTCAAATTTGAATAACTTTTAAAAGGGCTCCTACAGATTCCAACGAATGTCCAACAACATCCAATAAGTGATTGTTGTGACAACTTTGAAGGTAAATATAATATGTGTGCACTTCGAGTCTATGCAGAATACATTTTAGGATTTCGATTATTTCATTATCTAGGTGGGGTTGGAGAAATCTGTGAATGAGCAAAATAGTATTTTGAAGCAGCTGATAACGATAGAGTTTTGGGACCGGTCGTACAAATGCATAATAATAATATGTCAAATATTGGCACAGGAAAAATTTGAAAAAAATATTGTCGATAAGTCGGAGTGTTTGAAACACGTTTAACTACAGGCCCTTACTTTTTCATGATTTCACGGTTAAACAAACTACTAAGAGCATGCAAATTTCAAAAGTTAGCATGCAAATACATACTAATTGCATGCTAAATATTTGCAAAAAGCTTTTGAAGATTTTTTTATGGAAGGGTTGGGAACACGTATGTCGATCAATAATTGCTCTATTTAGAATATAAAATGTCAAATATCTATAAATAGCTCTCTAATAGCTAGAGTAATATATTATACATATTAAAAATTAAACCATGTTTAGAAAATTGTAATAAGCCTATACAACTATTTATTTCCGAATTACAACTAATTAGGATTGACTGTAAATTAAATTTTAATTTTCAAAATATCATGGTTTTTTTTAGTTATAAACATTTCAAAGTTTTTACATGTTTTTGATTTAAGTTAAAAGCTCTATAATTGAATGCTAGGTCCTTATAAGTTGTTTGTATTTTGTTTATTTGATACATTTTTTAATTTTATTATTTTTATAATCACTTATTCAAATTTAAACGAATGATAACGATCTTTTCTAAAACGGTTGTATTTATTTTGTTTGAATTCAAAAAATATTATTTATTGGAAACTCATTGCGTGTACTATAATATATATATTATTTTCCATAACTATTATAATTTTCAAAATATTAATTATATTTTATACCTTGATATTATTCAAACCGTTCTAATAGGGTAGGTTCCTACATCATTATTGATTTATTACTTATAATAGTTATAAGTTAATAACAATTTTATGTGTATGATATATTATTAGTCATTAGATATTACTATTATGTATAAAGTATCTGATGTTTTATTGAATAGAGAAATGAGTTGTCAATTATAATATTATAAAATGTTTTTAGAAATAGAGACTGACTCTAAAAGTGATATCATTGAATTCATATTTATTATTTAACACATCAATTTCAGTTGATGATGAGTTTGGAGGATCACTTCTAAAACTACTAATTTACTACCTACTGTTCAAAACATGCTATATACCAAAGATACTTCGCTTGTTTTTTTTTATTGCTATTAAATGTTTGCAATAGAATTTAGCCGTATTAAATATATACGAATTTTAGTCATAATATTTTGTAATTTCTAATAATTTATAAAATATAAAATATATTTATATATATATAGATAAAAAAAAAAAAATACTTTAACGAATTTCAGTTTTCAATATTTGATCTGTTTTTATTAAATAATTTCTTTACAAATTGTTTTTGAATATTCCAAAAAATTCTGAAAAGTATAATATCATGTAATACATAGGAACTTTGTATGTTGTTAATATAATAATTAATAGGTAACGAAACTATTTTCTGGTTTCCGACTTACGACCCTGATTCTATGACCAATGTGGTATAATATATTTCTTTAATCTAACACTCGTCGCGTGTTGGGTATAATGACTAATGGGTGTTATAGTTACCTACCTATACATCGCACACTCGCAATTATTATTGTAATGTATTATACATTACTTATTATACCTACTTATACGAATTACGAGTAATGCTTTGCGTATGCTGTACAGACAACAGACAAAACTGTAAGGGAACAGATCTGCAAGAAAACACAAAACGCGGATTTACCCGGCGCGCACGCACCCCCCCCCCCCCCCCCCCCCCCCCNCCCCCCCCCCCCCCCCCCACACACGCACACACGCACACACGCACACACGTACACCCGCACACGCACACACACACGTGAGTGCGCACTTGGGCCACAGGTATATACATATATAATGAAGCAAGCTCGTGGCCGTCACTGGCAGCGCCACTGCTTTCGAGGAGCACGTTGGGCCGGGCGAAAATTTCGCGCGTTCCGCCCAGCGCGCAGATATACGTCGCGATGCGCGCAAACACGCGTTAGCGCATTCGCATTCGTCCACGCGCGCACACGGACGGACGAGTGTTCATCACGTTCTTCGCGGAGGCACGCAATCAACTCCGCCACGTACCTACACATACACAATATTTTATATGTGTATATAATCGTATTCTTCCGCCACAGCAGCAGGAGCAGCCGCCGCCGCCAACAATAACGTCCCGTCGATCACGCACGCCGGTCGTCCACATAATAATAAAATACTTCTCCGCCACCGCCGCGCGTGTGTGTGTGCGTGTGCGTGTCCCGTGTGCTCTCGCCGCCGCCACCGTCGTCGTCGCGGTCGTCTAGCCGGACTTTACTCGCTCGACGTCATCTCACCACTACACATCATCCGTTACCACTACCACCACAATCGTCGCCGCCGCCACAACAACCGCCACCACCACCACCACCACCACCTCCACCACCGCCACTACCTTCGCCGCAACCGCCACCATCGCCACTACCGCCACCATATATCCTCCGCTGCTGTAACCACCATCATAACCGTCACCACCACCACCGCTGCCTAAACCCATCCTCTCGAGTACCCGACGGATGGCTAGCGGCCACCAAACGTAATATAATCCGCTTGATCGTAAATAATAGTAACATGGTGTTTATCCACATGGCGTCTTGAGTGTGATGTGGATAACCATAATTACGCGTGATGTTATGATTTCGTAGCGATAGTTCATACCTATGTATGCCTGATCAGATAATTATACATATATAGGTACCTATGTCTGTACTTAGGTAACAGCAGCCAAAATTCTTGTTCCCGTCAGATCACTGTAGACGATACTCCGCTGCCGAAGCTCATCGCGACCCAACCGGTTCCAGGTCATTTAGGGTAAATCTGCTGCCGTCGCTACCATCACCACCATCACCACCACTACCACTACCAAGATAACCACCTCCACAACTACTGACACCGGAACCGCTATCACTCGCCCGATCAACCACTACAGCACCACTCAGCGTACACGCAATCGGACGCTACAAACCAACAGTCAATCAAAGGTTAGTTAGGTACCAATATTGAACCTATTCATTTTTCACACAAATAATATTTTTAGAATAGAGTAAGGACATAATTCGGTGTACCTATACAGTCAAATAGCATGTTATGTGTAAGGAAACGCGTGTTATAACTCATTAAAATTACAATAGATCAACTCAACGTACTTACTAGGTTTTCAAAGATGGTAGAAAATTGTTGATAATTTTCTGGTGAACGAATTAAACTAAAATTTAACCAACTATATAATATTATAATGTGTAAGAATTGTGTTCAAAAAGTTTCTAGTCACAGTCAAAAGTCTTAGTCTAAGTATTATGCGGATAGCTGATAAGTACTGAAAAAATACTAAAATTATTATGAGCTTCATATCTTAACCATGTAAATACAATTATATTGATAATTTTTATAATTACGGGAATACAGTTTTTCAGTACACAATTTGGTAGGTAAAACTACTGGAAATTTAAATATTTAAATTTAATTTGTTTTAATAAATTTGAACAATTCTATAATTGCTGACGTATAAATAAACATTTGCTTAAAGTATAGATAATTTTTAGATGCATATGATTTCAACTGCCATGGCAGATGAATATTTGAAAATTAAAACTCTGGCAGTATAATAATGCTCACAATCCACGTGAAAATATTTATTTTAAATAAAAATAGATCAAATTTTGAGTATTATTATATTGTTTGTTTTAATTTGTAAATCTTCATTTTCTCACGGAAATTAGTACTATTCATTATTAGTAGCTAGCTATTATGAATTTTCATTTATAATTTATATGTGGCTATAGGTATAAATTACAAATGCTTGGATACTTTAATACCAATTTACTATGAAGTAATTTACTTACAATATATTCATCTTCAAAGTTTAATATGATTTTATACACCATAAGTGAATACTTTATTAGGTACCTAGATTTGTTATTTATAAATAAGTAATAACAAAACTTTCACTCTCCAAATAACCTGATCATATTATAATACTTGATAATAAACTCTTGACCATGTTCTTTATGCGGGAAAATATTGCTTTGTTTATGTTAATCATTTATAACAAATTTTTAAAAATGCCCATACATTTATTTGTGTTATTATTTACATCTATTTTATAGTTTTTCCTCCAAAAATAGTTTTTATGTTATTTATCAATGATAGAAAATTTTAAGAAGTTTTTTATTAAAACAAATGTTATTAATTATCATACCAAAATTATTGTACGCGAGTACTTACAAATAAGTATTAATAGCAAAATAATGTATAAAATCCACACAAATAAAAAACTTATCAATGTATGCATTTATATATTAGTGAACAAATAGTGAAATATGAAAAAATATTAACTCTTTATACAATGAAAAATATTTTAGTATTAGTTATGTTTTTAACTATTATATATAAAAGATAATATCTCCTAGAGGCCAGAAGTCCCTAGCCTTACAGTTATAAGATTTCAATGTTCGGTACGTATATTAAGTTTAAAATGGTAATTTTTTTCTGTAATGAAGAGCGAAAACCAACAAATTGTAAAACTGAAAATAAAGAACTTAAATTATCGTCGTCTCGAAAGACAATTGAAAACTTTATTTCTCAACGTCAAGATAATATCAACACAATACAATTTAATAATCATATATTTTATGTTTCACGTAATCTTTATAGAATGAATTTGTTATTAATGTCTAGGTGAATAATGTCTCAATCAATTTTATTTGTTTGTAATAATACATGCAGTATATTAACAGTTACTAATTTTAACCTGATTATTGAGGGTTATTGTTGAGTTCTTCTTTTTACTGTCTATAAAATGTTGGGTGTTGGAAAAGAGAAACCATACAGTTAATGGGAAGCCGCGTAACTATATTATCAGCTGTATCACCATAAATTAATTGATTTAACTGCGTAAATATATTTTTTTGAGGTGAGTAGGTACTTACCTAAATTTTTTTTGCAGACAACTTTCTTAAATACATTTATCATGTGGATCATTCATGAATGCATTTGTGTCTCTTTCATTTTAAAGAAACAATGTTCTTAGGTTGTTTATTTTATTGAAGAAGATTTATAATAACTAGTAATTTAAACGTTGCAAATATATTTTTCTTACTAGGGAAATAATAATTTAAAAAAATGATCATTTGTATTTCATTGTTACATAAGCGTTTTTCAATATGCGTTTTTCAATACGTATTTTAAGATTTTTAATTTTCACATGGACCACAAAAGACGTTTGATTACAAAAATACAAAACAACTGAATTTATGGACGACCATTATTCTCTAGAGGTATTATTCGGTAATCTAAATATACCACTCAATAATCGAAATGGTAAATAGTTATAATCTGCAATCGTAACAACTATAGCATATTCTAACAAATAAATATGAACATTTTTCCTATTACTTTCGATTTGCCTTCGACGCCTGCTGCACGTTAAATTGTTAACAGTTCATGCAACAAGTAACAAGTACAACACGTTTGTGCAATATAACATTAGTTATTTCCTTTACAGTGAATCGTCTTGACCGATAAAGCCATAAAGGTATTGTAACAAGAAGAACCTAGCAACGAAGAGAAATATCAAAGATTTGGGTTAAATATTACAAGTTCAAAAACTTTATTTGATCAGATTTAAGATTGTGGTACCCCGCGGTGTAGATATTCCCTAGAGGTTTTTAAAAACTTACTGAGCACGTACGACGACGGCACCGTCAACACGTACGTTTGTTTGGGGTGATTTGAACTAGAAATGTGTAAGAGAAGTGAAATTTGTCATGCATATATATATATATTTATGTATTATGTTCTGTATATTATACAACGAAGGAAGATATATTTTTCCTCTAATATCCCGAAGGAACGGCGTGTGGCATGACACAAAACGTTTGGATTAGTTTCTGACCCCGTAACTTTTACACAGATCCGCAAAAAGAAAAATAAAGAGGCTAAAAGTGTTTTTTGAACTGTTTTTTTTTGTTGGTCAAGTTTAGCTTAGTAGGTGCGTATTTTATTATTGTTTGTTTAATTTTATTACCTATGTTTTAATTTTCTATGTGTGTGTAATGTGTACTTACCTACGTAGGTATTCCTTATAAACTGAAGCAATTTTTGATTTTTTAGGTTAAATTACCGTTGAAATAAAAATATCATATTTATACATGATGATCTACGAAACGTGCATTGAAGCACGCACCTATATAATATTTTTTGAATACAAAATATGGTCCAAAGACTACGAAAGTTCTTTTTACGACAATAATGTCGGAAACTTGTATTGTTTCTGTAATATGTATTACGTCATACGTAAAGTATATACTATACCTTATCTTCTGTATAAAGCTGTTATTTTTTCATCCGACGATCATTATTATTACTGTTATTATAAGTGTTGTTTTTCAACGACCCGCGTGTTTGCGTAAGTACAGCGTCGCACTCATATCGGTGGAATGAACCGTGAAAACCTAGTCCTTAAGTGTATGGTAGTAGTGGGAAAGCAGGGGTTGTAGTGAGAAAGAATGGATCTAATAATGTGATCTTTGTGCGTCGTGTGTGCGCGTGTCGGACAAAGGGACGATGGGAATTAAACCTCACGTCCTGGTCCATATGCCTATATTGCGGAAATTTTGACTTATGTGGAGTTGAATGACTAATGGGAGGGGGATACTGGGAGTTCACTGCTAACTGTACCTACTATAAATATACGTCAATATATAATAATTGATATTGTGTATAAAAGGTATATCAGCTGATTCGACCATATCAACTGTTGTATGATATATTGATATGTATGGATGCGTTTCCAATCAGTAAATATTAAAACATAGTATTTATTATAACGTACATGATTCTGTCAACGATGAGTAAAAACCGACATCAAACAGGCTCACTTTTATTTATTTCGTACGTATAGGTATACGGATTCTTCCAATTATATAAGAAATATATTAAATTAACATTTTTTCATGTATATATGGACTTGGTAGTGTAGTACATACAAATGTCGTCTCTGAATCGTATTCTATGTAATAATAATATTGTGAAATATTTTTGAGTCTCTTTATAAATTATTCTATTTTAGTAAGAATTTTAAGTTTTTTTTTTTGAAAGTATGCATGAGTTCAGTTATGATGAGGTACTTCTTATTAATGCTAATGTGCCTATAATTTTATTTTTAAATAAACTCTGTCATCTAAACTAATAAAATCATAAATAAGTGTATATTATATTGTGTTATCGGCAAATAACCTCGTTGTTGAAACATGATGACTAACAAATAAAATTATCGGAAATTTCGAGCTGCTGTATGGTAGATTTCGAGCACCTATACCTCATCATTGATTAGGTCACTAACCCAATGCTGATACACTGGTTTAAAAATGTTGTCAACATTGTAACTTCAAATACTTATAAAAAAAAGGAAAAAGTATTTTAAATATTTTTTAAATTGTTATTAGAACAGCTTATGCGGTATCATGTATTTCAATCATTTTTACCCAGCTCACATTTTTTAACAACATTTAAAATTAAAATAAAAAAACTTATAACATTTCAAATGCTTATCAATAGTTTAATAATACCTACATTTAATTGTGTACAGAAAATTATAATTTAAGTAATGTTGGAATTTTTCAAATTTTTACAACTCATATTTTTTGGGTCATACGAAAATAACAAAAAAATGTTAGATAATTAATAAATATTATTATTATTGTATATTATTATCATATTTTTGAATATGTAATATCGTCTTCAATTAATCATAACAAATACATGTGGCTTTACATTAGACATTATTTTATTTTCCAGTGAACATCTGTATGAAGAACCTTCTTGTATCACATTTTTAAACCATATAGATTATAGGTGTTGAAATAAAAAAATGTTATGAATTCTCAACTATAAAAATGTTTGTTATTATGTTTAATTTTGAAACACTTCAACTTTAAACTCTCATAAAAATACTGACAATATATTTTTGACATTTTTTAAT